CACCAACAATACACATTTCTACGTATATTCGTGGAGTGCGAAAACGGTATATTTCTATCTTTTTCAGTTTTGCATATTTTCTTCATTTATTGTTACCTAAACACAATAGACCAGGTATAATGATCAAGGACTAATTATGTAAACAAGTTTATTGAAAAGGTGTAGTCAATATTTGAATAAAGCTACACAAATACCTGTTCCTTTTACTCCATTTGTCTATAATGAGATCTTCTGTAAATTACTTGATTCTAAGGTAATTAGTGGAGAAAATTCGCAATGTTTGCTAACATTTCCCAATAGATTATTAGTTAATTACACCTTATTATTATTTCCTATGTATTTACTTATTTAAAAAAAAGTTCTTATCTTTTCAAAAAATAATTGTACAGTTAGCGTATTCGTTTTATTTATGCACGGCCCATGAAGGTTTTTTACGAACAGACAAAACTGCTGGTAAAAATGTAACTAACACAATAACACATGTCTATACATATTGTCATTGCAACCTATCTTCCATTTTTATGGGTAGAACCATATTCGGCACCAAAAAGCATGAGATATCACATGGACATCAAGCAATCGAATTTACACCTTTTGGTCTGTAAGTATCGATATTGGCAATTGGCATCGTTTGTGCGGTATCATAATTCGGTTTTTTAAATCCTTAATTCAGTAGTGAAAATTGAAATTGGGCATTCCTCTATTTCTTTGACGACCAAGTATTCATCCTTGTTGATATCAGATCATATTGAAACAATTATAAATTGTGCACAACTCTTGTGCAGATAAAGTGAATTTTTTTAAACCGAAATAGCTTAGTAAATAGTTGGATTATAAGGCTCTTCTGTTGTCAAGATATTCGCTTCGACTTCATCAATAGATGTCTCGTCCAGACGATTCATTCTGCCTCTCCTCCGACAAACTGTATTCGCTCTTATCGTGTTGATCTTACCAATGGATATATTTGTTCCACACGTCCCAATCGCCCTTTGTGAGTACCTCCTCCGGCAATTCGTTATAGAGATAAAAATTATAACCGATCACGATGAAGCGTCGAAGAGGTAAAAATGGATTCCTTTTGTTGAGACCTTTCATTAGAGTATGGATAAAACTAGTCCCTATCTTCCCCGAACTCCCTATTCTGATAAGGGTAAAAAAGAGGGGGGCCTTAAAACATCTAAAAGTGATGGCCGCCTGGCGGACCTCCAAGGTATAGGCTACTTATTGCAAAAAATTCCAAGACTATATATATATTACCATTCCCCTAATAGTAGTTAAAAAAAAGTGGGCCCGGGCGGACGGGCAAAATGCAAACAATTACACATTTTTTATTTCTTAAAAAAATCCGCTAAAAATAAGTACACAGTATAGAACATACCGTTTTCTGTTGCCACATAGTAATGGAAATTAAAAAAAATCGCAGCAAAGTTGATGTGAAGATTGCGGGACTCTATCAAAAGGCATAGGTACTCGCCGCTTTTTTTGATACGGATATTCATTTTGGTGGTGTCTCGCTAACTTGACAAACTTTACTTTTGAATTGATGCTAATTGAAACTTCTGATGTATTTTGTGGAATTGTGGTATTGTGCTTTCTCCTTATGTCGAGGTCATGCGTTTGTCCTGCCCTACCACATTTTTTTTAAATGTTTTTATGCACGTAGATAAGCAGTTTCATGGTACAAAATGTTAAAAAAACAAAAAGGAGTCACATTTTTACACCACACCTGAATTGCGACAAGAAGCCAACAAATTATTGGTATAATCGTCTCACTATGTATCTAAAACACATAAGTGGTCGTATTCCGCTTGGGTTGAGCTAAAAAATGGGGCTACTATTTGATATCTTCCTAAACAAATTTCTTGAAGAATCTAGATAGAATGAAAAATGTTTTAGAAATAATAAAGTATTTCTATAAAAATAAAAATAAACATTAGCTAATTATACATATAGTAGCTTATCTAATCCATGTCATTAGGAACGAGGTAACAATGTGCCAGGATAATGCCAGGTAGTTTCTTTTGTTTTCCCTTGCAAGTAATGAGATATCGCCTTAGGGGTTTAAGTGCAATTTGAGTTGCCTACCTTTATGTTAACGTTGCGCTCTTTTCTGAAAATCGCGGAACTTATTTTTTTAAAATATATGCCTTATCATAAAAGATAGAAATAATATCTTTAAGTACCGCCGTAAAAAATACTGTCGGATTTCCAAATTGGTGCTGTAGGTTTTTCTACTCCCATTACAACGGCTGTTATTTACGAAAAACGATTTTTCTATTCATCGATCTTCCTAAAAAACTAAGACCGATATTTCAACTTTTTTTAAGTACCGCCGTTCTTTTCATCATTGCAAAGAGTATCCACTATCGAGAATTTGTTAGACTTCAACTACAAAAGCGGCATTTCATAAGAAAGTTTAGTTATTTTTCAAATATGGCGGATTGACTACAGAGGAGCCTTAAGTCGAGACTTTTCGGCGCCGCACGCAGTTAGCTTGACAACATCGTACTCGTTAACCATTCGCCCAAAAATTTTGAAGAAACCTGCGCTATAATAATACATAAAATGCGCTAGTGGGTTCCCGTTACATTACGCGTTCAAGTGCTTGAAAGTGCTTGAAAAATCTTGAACCGTCTTAGAGGAAAGCGTTAATTTTCATTATTCAAATGCACTCGTAATTAGCTGCGGGGACCTTGTTCCGCGAAGATTGTTGCCGAAGTTTCACGGTTTTATCTTAATTTCGTTTAAGGAGCTCTGTATAAAAATCAGGCGTGGCGTGTTTCGCTTTTAGTCGACGATCTTCCATTAATTTAATTCTGTCTTCTACTTCCTTCTACCACCAGTAGTATATTATAGCCGATTCAAAATTAATGTCACTGGAAGGTCAAACGCAGACATGGGTTTGAAACCCTGCTAAATCAATGTCACTGAAGGTGAAACGTGGACGTGGGTTTGAAACTCTATTAAAATCAATGTCACTGAAGGTGAATCGTGGACGTGGGTTTCGATTCTTGCCTGAATTAAAGTGGTTCTGAGCTAATGTGAAGTTCAAACGGCTTTGAGTAATCGTTGGCTTCAAGGTCACTGAAGGGGTGGGACCTTTTCTCGTTTATTGGGTGCTAACTATATCGAAGCAGTCGGAGTTTTGCTTACCCCTTTTTAATGAAAATGTAAATCTTGCACTACCTGAGGCATATTTGAAAGCACGGGCTTTTCCACGAGAAATGCCGACTTTCATTGCGGCTGTCACGCTTATGTAGTTCCGGTTGTGTTAAAATAAGAACGTTGCGACCAGTAAGAATACAAAATCTTGTGATACATGTAACAGTGGTTACATTTCAGGGATGCTGGATCGTGTTATTAGATTTTGATTTTTTACAGTGATGTTATAGTATTTTACATTATTAGCCAGGTAAGTGAGTTTTTACTGGCGATAGGAGAAGTTGACTGGCGAGCCGTTAGGCGAGCTTGTCATCTCCTAGAGCCAGTAAAAACTATTACCTGGCGTATAATGTACAATATTTTATTTGTTACTCATTTGTAAACAATAGTAAACGTAAATAATTAGTTCTTAAATTAATCTTGAAGAAATGTCTAAAATATCATGCTATCCATGTAACAGAGACTTCGCATTAATTCTGGCCAATGAAATTACTAGATTACTAACTTGTAAAATTTTTACACGTCTGCTGTCAGTTTTACAGGTCTGCTGTCAGTTTTACAAGTCAGTAGCGTTTAAACATGACGTTTACCCGTTTGCGTTTTGTCTTGTTAATCAACGTTTACAACCGAGTAACAAATAAAAGTTTTTCCTTGAAAGTACCGACGGTTAGCTCAAATTTTTTATTTTACTTGTAATTATCCTACGACGATGGTCGAACTAGAGAAAAGATGTGTAATTAAAGAGTCTTGTCGTCACTGTCTCTATGGAGTGACTGTAGCCATATATGACACGCATGTTCTCTGGGGTAGAGTTATATAAAATTAAAATTCGAAATGAACATAATACCCAAGCGGGCTCCCGCTACACGCATTAAAAGGAAACTTGCTTATTGCTCTTTTTGCTATGTACTGTTTTGATCATAACTACTTCGTTTTCCTTGCGAGTCGGGTTCCTATATACGAATGGTTTCTCAGCTTTGACTACCGAAAAATGTCGATTGGATAGACAGTTCGCATGTAACGCATTTGGGCAGGAATGCACGTAGTCTTCGCGACGATTTTAAATGAACTTATACATTACATAATATGCAGATGGCTTATGTAATCAGTAATAATTAGGTACATTTGACTTTGTATACATACACTTTTTCATTTTCATGACCAGGTAGATAATTTAGAAAGCGTCTTCGCAACTTAACTATTATGCGATAATTCCGATGATGTTCGTCTTTAGCTATGGAGGACCAAATTCCAACGAAATTTCGAACGCATACTCAGCTGGTGAAGAAAACTACTTTGTGACCAACCGTCAATACATCTACGCCTCCATTGACGGAAGAGGTTCTGGAAAGAATGGGGATAACTTGATGTTTGAAGTATATCGAAGACTGGGAACGGTTGAGATGGAAGACCAAATTGAGGTGACCAAGTACGATCACTACCGTAAAACCAAATTACCCATTCATTATGGCGTTGCTTGGGTTTCAGATATTTACATAAGCACTATAAATATATAGATGCGAATAGAACAGGAATTTGGGGTTGGAGCTATGGTGGTTTCGCAACCCTTTCGATCTTAGCAAAGGATACAGAAAATGTATTTAAATGGGGGCTAGCTGTTGCGGCTGTAACCAGTTTTAGGCTTTACGGTACGTGTTGTGTGTTGTTTCGCACCCATAATTTACGTTTCAGATACCATTTACACCGAAAGGTATATGGGATTACCGACCAAAGATGATAATGAACAAGGCTACAACAATACCGATCTCACACGGTCGGTTGAAGCTTTCCGAAATAAATTATTTTTCATTGTTCACGGTAACGCAGACGACAATGTTCACTACCAGCAATCAATGGTACTAGCAAGGGCGTTAGAGAAAGCAGATGTTATGTTCCTTCAACAGGTAACGACTATTTATAAATCCAATAGTAGGTACTATATATTTTTTAGAGTTATCCGGATGAAGATCATTCGATTGGATCTGTGCGCCCTCATCTATACCACACCATCGATAGATTTTTTGATCGTGGTTTTCGTTCAGGAATTAGTGGGAACAAAGCACCTAACTTGCGGAGAAGGAGGAGGACACGTTTTTGATAAATATATTGTTTTTAGGCAACTCGATTGACAGTTGCAATATCTTGTGTGTTGTATCGTATCATCGCATAATTTGTAGCGTTTTTTAAGTCAACAATAAAGGCAAAAAATCACAATAAATGAACGCTATTTCAACAGTTTCAAGTGGCCAATATGTCAGCATTTCATAAGAATTAACAGGAATGATGCCAGTAAAAGTTCCAACTTTTACGTACTGTTGATCTTAACAACGCCGGAGTTTAATCAAAGTTGATTTAAACAGTGCAGATAAAGCGCATTTTTTTAACCTAAATAGCTTTTGTATTGACATTACCAATGGATATATTTCTCGCAGACGTCTCAATCGCCCTTTGTGAGTACCCTCTTCCGACAATCCGTTCTTGAGGTATAAGGGAATATACCCGATCACGATAAGAGGTCGAGGAGGAGGGCTGTGGTTGGTAGAAATTAATTCCTTTCGATGAGACTTTTCATTAGAATACCATGAAGGGCTTTGGTTTTGAGGTCGGGTGTGTGACGACGGTTGGTGGCTTAGATCATATAAACATGGATAGAGCTATCTCATAAGCTCTACTAAAAGACAACCGTCGCCAACATTCCAACGTGCATTTTTATGCCTATCATCTTTTACTATTAGTAAGTTGTAATGTATTTATCCTTTGCCGGGTTGATTGTAAAAGTGCGTAAGCTTGGCGATTGTTAGAACGTTTGTCCGTTTGACATCGTATATTCGCAAACAGCTGTTTTTGTTGTTTAACCTTACTTGACTTTACATGGTTATATATGAAACTAAACTTTTAATACTCTTCTGTACCACTAAATTATCCTATAAAGATGTATTTATTCATGTATTGAGAACCTTTTTTACCCTAAATAATAAATATTGCATTGTTTATTAACATTGTGAGGTTAAAGATTTGAATTTTCTGATTGGTTACCACTTTGCCATATCATTAACTTAACCCTGCAAACTGGAATCTATCCAGACTCCTTGAAAACTGCTATTGTTAATCCGCTTTTCAAAAAAGGTGACCGTCGTGATGTTACAAACTATAGGCCTATCAGCATCCTGTCATGTTTTTCAAAAGTATTAGAAAATGTTATCAATAAGCAACTTATGGTTTACTTACTAAAATACAATATTTTGAACAAATCTCAGCATGGATTTATAAAATCCAAATCCACTTGTACAGCTTTAAATGAGTTCGTATCCGAAATCGTCAGCTCTTTGGATAAGCGCATATTAACACTCGGATTATTTGTTGACTTTTCATCTGCTTTCGACACTGTTAGTCATGACTCATGAGTTTCTGTTGAACAAAATGAACCGTTACGGCATACGCGGCACACCACTAAGACTATTTGAGTCTTATCTATCGAATAGATCCCAGTTTGTTAAATTACCACAGGGTCACTGCAGTAGCCGATCGTTCATGTCAACTGGAATCCCTCAAGGATCTATTCTTGGGCCCACGTTGTTTATCATTTTCGCTAATGACTTAGCACCTTACTTGTTACATTCAACTGACAATAGTGTGTTTATAACCTGTTATGCTGACGACACCAATATTCTAATAAAATCAAACACTACTAACGATCTTCTATTGAAAGCTCAATTAATATTTGACAAATTAAATCAATGGTGTAAAAATAACAACTTAATTATAAATACTGAGAAAACTTCAGTTATACACTTTAGAAGTAAGCGCAATACCTGCAAAATCGAAAATGCCCTCGGTATTCCATGCTCCACCTCTACAAAGATGCTAGGAGTAACAATAACAAGAGATCTATCATGGTCAGAACATATAGACAACCTGTGCACTAAGCTTCGGAAATGCTGTTACGCGTTACACTTTTTTAAACGTTTGTGCAATCAAAATACGCTTTTAACTTTATACCACGCAAACTTTCACGCTATCATAAGCTACAACATTGGTATCTGGGGTGCCAGTGCGCATGTGGAACGAATCCTTAAATTACAAAAACGTGCAGTAAGAATAATGTGTCAACTTACATTAACAACGTCGTGTAAAACTTACTTCAAAAAATTAAAAATCTTGACAGTCATTGACCTTTACATCCTGGAAACATGTTTATACGCCTTCAAAAATAAAAAACAGTTTATTAAATTAACACATGCCTATAATACACGTAACAAGTTAGTACTAAATCCTGGTCGGCATAGAACAGCACTTTTTCAAAATAACTTAAACTATTTAAGCTGTAAGATTTTCAATGTCCTCCCAAATTACATACAAACTCAAAACGACATTCGCAAGTTCAAAAAAGAACTCAAAACATACTTACTAAACCAAAATTTTTACAACCTAAAAGAATATTTTGAGCATTGAGTTATATAGGTCAACCCAATACACATCATGGTTATTATGTACTTTGGTGTGTATTATTGTTTTTATGCATGACAATTACTGCCTACTATTGTTGTACATCTTGTGCGGCAACGTTGTTGCAGTAAAATAAACATTATTATTATTATTATCACTGAAACTGTAGGTACATGGAATAACAACATCTAAATTGTACGTCGACAAGAGAGATACAGCACAAGAGTATGTAGAGTCTTGAATCAGAACATGTTGGCGACATAGTGTAATTGCATCGCTCCATCCATGTTTATATGATCTAAGGTCGGTGGTCAGTTGATTAGCATCGGTTGTCGGGTGGTTAGCTTTAGTAGTCGTATAGATGGCGTCGTTGGATGAACAGTGTAATGGACAGATGGTTCGCGCTAAGGGGTGGATGTTCGGCGTTGGTGGTGAGGTTTTCGCCGTCAACGATGGCATTTAAATGGCCTGTGATTGGGTATAAGGTTCTTTGTTTGGCGGGGCAACGGCAACGACGGTTGGATTAGGAGTAATGCAGCTTCCTTTATCTATCCGCATTTACCACATGGCTCCCTCCCAGGTTCCTGCGTAGGTTAATAGAGGTAAGAACTTGGTCCTTAGATATGTGAAGGTGGTAGCGCGTGCGTGGTAACTTGTAGGTGTTGGAAACAGTTATTATATAGCCCTTCTACTGCATGGGTGAACGTCCCCTCCCTTTTCAGATATTGGGCTGAGTTATGTCTACTCGGTGTGCCTGTTTTAATGACGAATACACTACACATCGTGGCTTCAGATCTCCCCTGTATAGAGTAAGTGCCCATCTATGGTATGGGGAGAGGAGAGGGGGCTTACCTGGGATCGAAGTGAGAAAGTATGAAATGCACTATGGGCATAGCTTTAGTAGGTATATAATTTATACGCAATGTCAAAAGTTGAGTCTAATCGATTCAACATTCACAGTGCCCTTTTCGCATCTCGACCACTTATGGGCCGAATTGCAAACTTTGTTATTTATGAAAGTATTTCAATGAAATTTGATACATATGCACATGGACTCCGGACGCAACTCGTAGAGAAGAACCCCAGTGTCAGGTCAACCATACTTCCGAGAGTGCTGTTCACTCTGCGAACAAGGAAGAACGCCGCCACAGGAGTAAAACCAAGCTACAAATTATTAGGTTCTGACCTACCCAGGCCCGAAGAGTGAAAAGCTCGGGAAACAACGACGCCCACCAACAGGGGAGGCGCTAGAAGAAGCAATACAAACCGTCCACAGAAATCAAGCACCCCCTGTATTTGAATGCATTTTTCAGTTCTACGTGTAATTGTACGTCTTTCTTTATTATATGGTTATTATCCGAAAAGCTAGTAGTTTTAAAAGATAATTCGATTTTTAAGAAAAATGGGGCATTTGCAAGCGTCAGTATATATTGTCAAAATTATTACTTAGATTTTGATTCCAGGTTTTATATCTTATCCTGGATTAAGTAAATGTCAAATAAATACATCTACTATGAAACATTAAAAATATAGCTTACAGGGTGTTTTTTTGGTAGGTCCAAAGTCGCAAAACTTCATATTCAAAATCTCACTTTTTTTAAATAGAACACCCTGTATATTTTTCTGTCATCATTTAGCTCCTCCAAAAACCTTCAACTTTTGATAATAAGGTCCTATACCTCTCTGATAGTTTTCGAAATATTTTGGTTTTCCTGGGTTTTATATACTATAAAAGAGTTATATGTAATTTACATAATAGTGAGGTGGCCATTTTTATCTATCTCGTCCAAAACGAAAATCATATCGATTAATTTATTTTTCAAACAATTTATTTTAATCCTGGAGAATAAGTAAAAACATTTGACTACAATGCAAATTTAATTCATCCAGTCAGTGATATTAGTTTCATTTTTTTTCATATTCACCTCGTTTGTAAATTAGAACTTATTTTAGATTAAAATATAAAAAGTAGAAAAACCTAGATATCTGTTTATGTTTTTACTATCAAATTTATTCTCCCGTTTTTATAGACTTAAATCAATTAGAAAAATGAATTAATAAATATGATTTTAGCTTTGAACGAGGCAGATAAAAATTGCCTTTTTTTGCATGGCCACCTCACTATTATGTAAATTACATATAACTTATTTAAGATTAGAATATAAAAACCAGGAAAACCAAGATATTTCGAAAACTATCAGAGATAGGTATAGCCGTATAGCACATTATTATCAAAAGTTGAAGGTTTTTGGAGGAGCTAAAAGATGACAGAAAAATATACAGGGTGTTCCATTTAAAGAAAGTGAGATTTTTTTAATATGAAGTTTTGTAACTTTGGATCTAGAAAAAAACTACCCTGTAAGCTATTTTTTTAATGTTTTATTATGTATTTATTTGACTTTTACTTAACCTGGAATCAAAATTTAAGTAATAATTTTGACAATATACTTACTGACGCTTGCATTGCCCAATTTTTCTAAAAAATCGAATTATCTTTAAAACTACTAGCTTTTCGGATGTTAACCATATAATAAAAAAAGACGTACAATTACGCGTAGAATTCAAAAATGCATTCAAATACAGGGGGTTCTATTGAAAAAAAATGTACCATTTTGGCGCCCTACTTTGTGGGCGCACCCTGTATAATTCCAAATATTTTTAAAATGGGGAGAATATTCAATCATATCATAATACAAAAGCACTCTATCGAAAAATCTTATCTTCAAGGCATTAAGTTACTCCGCGTAATCGTTGACTCACCCTGTACTTGTAAAAGTTTTGATGCACTTTCTTATTTATTTCACATTTATTTACCTATTTAGACTACCTACTTAACTAATCAATTCCTTATCACCAAACTAAAGTTCAACAAAGTATGATTCTCACAAAATGCTACAACACTCAATATTTCCATGGTTGAGCAAGAAATCCATGGGATGCTACTTAGCTGATGAAAGTATGCCATCAGGAGTTACTAAAACAATAAACCGGATAAGATGTAAAATGAAATAAACGCGTCAAATAGAAAAATAAACAGTACGAATAGTTCTTGAAATGAAGGTATGGAAACCGATACGGCGACAAGTACTACAAGCGTTAAAACGAGCGGTCTTCCACTTACGTCTCAAAGGTCGTAAAGTTTGCGTTGCGTACCCTGAAACCTTACCGGGAAAAAGCAAATTTTTCGACGTTTGGTGGTGTATTTCTCAAATCAAACATTTTGGACCATTGCTTTTTTTGGAAAAAGAGGTTTGTTTTGGTTCTTTTTACTCTATAATTTTTTTCCTTGACATACCTATTTGCTTACTATAGATAATATGTCTCTAGATGGGAAAGTACTAACATCATGGATAAGGAAAAAAAGGTAAATCGTAAATGAAACAGCAAAGAAAATCTAGTACCCAAGAACAAGAAAGAAAATCATAAATGAGATCGATGATGAGTGGAAGATAAAGAATGACCACAATTTGCCCACTCCAGGGAAGGGAAGGCTATATCCGATTATGGAATGATGAAGTCGAAACGATGAGTAGGTACAATAGTTGAGTAGGGCAACTATTGGTTTTTAGTACGAAGGTGAAACGCATTTTATATGTTGTACCTTCACACAATCTGCATGTTTACTCTCACAGTTTTGATAAAATGAGTAGATTGTTTATGCACGGCTATTTGATTAGATAATTTTTTACTATATGTATAAGTGATGCTCCTATCGAAAATCAGTAAGCCCAAACAGTTGTGAACGAGATAATGAGGGTGAGGGTAAGTTATTTGTGTTACAGTCCACTCGGCTTTAAGTTAAAAGTGATAGCCTTGAGTTTCACGATTAGGGGCCCTATTCTTGAACATGTGACTTCCGTCTGAGTATGATGTCATGTAAAGCGATTTTCATAATTTTGTATTCTTGACACTTTAAACCACTCGAGCGGGCGAGTCACAGTTACATCTCGAGCGATTTCAATCGAGCACATTTTTTTACCTGTGTTCCTTTAAACACATTTTTAGGGTTATAACTTGAACATTTTTCAAAAGTATATGCCCATATTTTACGCGTTGACGCAAAAAATGAAAAACGCAAGCGTAATTAATCACAATTAGACAGATCTGAACGAGTGGCTTGAGGAAAAATGAGAATACAGCGTTGCCAAGTTGACAAAGTCGAGCGGTTTTATTTCGTGTCATGAATACGAATTTGGCGAGCAAGTGAGTCACCGATAAGAAAGTCAAGAATAGGGGTATAGATCCTGTATTTGTTGATGTTATCTATTTGAGACACGTAATTATCTTTTTGATAACTTCTGATTCATGTAGATGTAGTGAAAAATATAATGTGTAGGCATCCTCAATGCGACTGTTAACGGGGAGTAGTGTAATAGTAAAAGGAGGACGTAATGATGGTATTGCCGTTTATTTCTACTGATAGTGAACAAAAGATCACAGCCAATCGCGGTATTCCATTTATCGAACACACATATAGAATCGATGTATTTTTGTAACACCTCCGTCCTACAGTGATCCAGGATACTATACTTTATTGTAAAGCTTCATGTCAGTAATTTAGGATAGTGGATCAGGAAAAAAGTTTTAATCCACTGCTCAAGGCATACGTACATTTTATACCGTCAACTAATCCCATTGTCAATCTCTCTCGTAGATTACAACAACGAAATTTCTGCTGAACATAGTCCTACTAGGCAGCTGCAGTGCCCAAAACTTAGAGCCCTTTCAACTAAGTGAATACTTGAATGGCTCATTTCTAGATTCTGGGTGGAATGGTACCTGGATTTCTGGTACACACGCACACATTTACATAATGCGCCCAACAATTGTTACTTTTTTCAGATTCGTCATTTATTTTTAAAGAAAGTGGGAACATTTACAAGGTAGATGCTGCTGACGGCCAAAAATACTTGTTTTTGGATAAGAATATTTTCGTAAGATCCCTTCATTGATGTTTCTACATCATCGTCATGCATTTAATTTTAGACCGATTACCCTTCGAGCACACTAACGTTTTCTAACGATTTAAAATTTGTCTTAATAAAGCACAACATTAAACGAGTAAGGTGAGTAGTTTGAAATTGATTACTTTTACCCGAAGTGATTTTAGGTGTTTAGACGTTCCGATACCGCTCAGTATACAGTTTACGATATCGACGAACAGTGAGTTACTGACCTATAAAGGTAACGTACCGTAAGTTGTATTTTGCAGGCAGTATCATCATCTCCACAATGGAGAAGCCTTACAGTACGTTGTTTGGGATCGCCAAGGAAAAA